ACGAATGATTTTCCAACTGTCCTTTGCACATCACAGTTCTGTCCCAATTCCTCCAATTCTAGGTTAAATATTTGTCTAGCTGCCCTGCTGGGATTAAAGAGTTAATCCACTTGTGTGGGAGGGGTGACAAACATGTTACTCTGGAGTGGGTGTCATCAAGCCTAGAAGTCGTGGCCTGTCGGGGTTATGGGCCCCCATACATGAGCAACCATGGTAAGACATCTATCGAATTATTTCACTCCGGTCTCAGAATGCCTCTGTGTGGTCAGCACTCTTGTTCCCTCTGCTCTGTGAGGAAAAAACTGGACCTTGGAGATGCTACCTGACTTTGGGGGTTCCAAGAGTGTCACCCAACTAGGACGAAGACTAGAGACCTCCAACCTCCTGACTCCCAGTCTCTGACTGGAAGGCACTTACTGATGACTAGCCAAGACAGTCATCCATGGACCAGGGTCCTAGAGCAGAAGAGATCCAAGGAGAGGGGAGAAAAAGAGAAGGGAAGATGGGACGTTAGGAGCGCTCCAGACAGGAAGTGACAGTTCCTAACAACAGTCGCTTCGCCTCCACTGCCCACTCAGTGCTGTCTAAGGAAGGCAGAGCCTATGAAGGTTCTTGGATTGTTAGTAGTGAGAGTCAGAGACGGTGAGATGAACATGCTGGACAAGGTAGAAAAGGAAAAGACGGGGAAGGAAAGAGACTGTGAAGGTTTGTGAGCCAGGAAGGACAGAGGAAGGAGATGACCGGGGGTGGGGGGGGGACGTTTGGAAAAGCACCGGAGCATCTACAAGGGGACTTTCACTAAAGCATCTTGTGGGATGAGATCTAACTCTCCCCTCCATCTTTTCACAAAGTGTTTAGTAAAATGTGCTTTTCTGGGGTTGACTGGATGACTAAAGGATTCATTCAACAAGGTGTGAAGAACGAGGAAAGATTGCCGTGAGCACGCAGCCCACATAAAAGTCGGAGGAATGGACTTCAAGTTTGGAGAAAGGAAGAAGATTATAGTGGCTGAGGGTGTGAAATACAGCTAATGATTGTCTCACCCAGGACTGGATCAGGAGGAGGCTGGTATCTTAGGAAGGAAATCTAGCTGGAAGATCAAATTCAAAAAGACATCACCCAAGACTTTGGCTCGAACAACCTGAGGAATGCTAAGCCCTGACTCACAAGCAATGTTGGGGATTGGAAAGGAAAGGTGTGTGGCAATGGTTTCATAAGGCAGCCTTTGCAAATGGACATGGGGGGGGGCAGGTGTGACAGAGCTGTGTTTCTGTCTTCTTACACACCCTCGTTGTGCCAGGCATGTATGCCTCCCGTCTTCGGATTCCCTATACTACTCTGTCTCTTTTGTTCTGTGTCCTATGGAAGCACTTATTTCTACAGTTTTCCTGGGATAGAGAACTCAAAGACAGACTCAAAGAAGAAGGAACTCTCCATACGTGGTAGGGATTCACAGGGAGGAGCAAAACCAAGAAAGCTCAGTGCTAGGAAATGGGAACGACCAGAAGGACAGAACGGAGTCAGGACAGCAAGCTCTGGACCCTGAGGATTCGTCTGATTTCAGAAACGCTGACCTGATGCTGATCCAGAGACAACAGAAAGAAAAGAGAGGCTAGGTGTCAATCCGCACAACCAGAGTGAGGTTAGGCGTGAGAACTGAAAGTCGTCCTAACACGCAGAGTTTTTATTCAGTGGAAATGTACAGTAACAGTGAGAGCTTCTGGCTTGCAAAGAGTGTCAGAGGCCAAGTTGAAGATGAGCAGCCTCCGAATTCTAAGTTCTTTTCAAATTTTCTTTATTTTTTTGTGTTTTGAGACAGGGTCTCCATGTTGCCCTAGCTGGCCTGAAACACTCTACATAGACTAGACTGGCCTTGATCTCTCAGAAATTCACCTGCTGGGATTAAAGGTGTGTGCCACTACACATGGCTTTAAGTTCTTTTTTTAAGATTTATTTTATTTTTTAATTGTGTGTGTGTGTGTGTGTGTGTGTGTGTGTGTGTGTAAGTACCTGAGTGTGGGTGCCTGTGGAAGCCAGAAGATGGCGTTAGATCCCCTGGAGCTGGAGTTACACATGGTTGTTAGTTCTTAACCACTGAGCCACCTCTCCAGCCCCATCTTAAGTTCTTAATTTGCTTATTCATTTCCCATTCTCACTCATTCACAGCTTTGCGTATCTCCTTTTACTTTTGTGTATATGTGTGCGTGTGTTTGTGCATGTTCATATGTGTGTGTGCATGAGTGCATGTATGTAGGGGGTGGGGCAGGGACAATCTCAGGTGTCATCCCTCAGGTGCAATCCACTTTTAATTATTATTATTATTGAGTTTATTATTATCATTATTATTATATATTGAGTTTCTCACTGGTTTAGAATTTACCAAGTAGAATAGGCTGGCTGACCCACAAGCCCCAGAGATCCACGTCTCCCACCTCCGGGTTCTGGGATTACAAGTGTGTGTCATCACATTTGGCTTTTTTTATGTATTTTCCGAGGCTCAAACTTGGGTCTTCATGACTGTAAGGCATGTAAGTCACCTTACTGACTGAGTCACCTTCCCAGCCCCTTCCTAGTTTTGATTTTCGAACCACTACATTGTCTGCGCTGATTATATAGCTCAGGTTTAATGGGACACCAACTCAATGTGAATTCATGATTCTCCTGCCGCAGCCTCCCTAGCGCTCGGATTACAGGCAGGCACCACCACACCAAGCTGCCTCACACCAGGTACCAGGTCCGAAGAACATATTTTGTAGGTTAGAGATCCGTGAAGTAAAATCTTATGAATGAAGGAATTTCCCAAAGTGAAGAACAAAGAGAAAAAGCGGCCTCGCCAGCGAGCGGAGGGAAAGGCAACGAAAAGTCAGTTCAGTAAACACTTGCTGAATGAAGAAGGCGAAAGGGGTGTGAAGCGCCACCAGAAGGCCCCAGACTACGGGGGAGGAAGAGAGGTGAGGTTTCCACAGCAACCGGAAGGAAAAGGGCTGAGTTCAGAACAAAGGCTGAGGTGTTGCGAGGTGGTTGGGGCCTGGGGAGATGGATTCGTTGGTAAAGTGCTCATCATGAGGGTGAGGACCAGGTTCAAACTCCAGCACCTTTGTGAAGGACAGAAATGGATGCGATGGAATGTGCGATCCCAGAGCTGGGAAGGCAGACGCAAGAGGGGCCTTAGAAGTCACTGACCAGCCAGTCTAACCCGTGAGCTCCAGGTTCAGTGACAGACCCTGTCTCAAAAAAGTAAATAGGAGCTGGAGAGATGGTTCAGCAGTAAAGAACACTTGCTGTTCTTCCAGAGGACCCAGATTCCCAGCACCCACATGGCAGCTAACAGCTGTCTGTAACCCCAGTTTCAGGGGGTCAGACACTCTCTTTTAGCATCCGTGGGCATTGCATACATGAGGTACACCTACATGTGTGAAGGCAAAACACTCATACACATAAAAATAAAAATAAATTCTAATTTTTAAAAGGCACTACAAGTGGGGCTCTCTGGATTCATTGTGTCCACAATGTGATGAAAATTTGGAAATACTGTGGTTTTTCTCATACAAGACAAAATTATAGTAGCACTTGCCCCTAGCCACAACTCCATCTCTTTCCCTCCACATATACTTCCAGCCCTCTCACTTATCCCTCAGCTAACCAAGGACCTTAATCAAAAGCACACATAAGAGTTAATTTTAAGGAAGTGTCTGAGTTAAAGCCAAGAAACGGAATGTGATAGCAATAATTATCTAGGGAACACACACAAAAGAACTTCCCCCAGAGAAATTCTGTAACCATTGTTCACATTACAAAACACACACACACACACACACACACACACACACACACACACATCCCACAATCACCAGCAGCAACAACAATAAGAAAAACCTACTTGGACCTTTTTTTTTGGGGGGGGGGTTGAGACAGGGTCTTCCTGTAGCCCCAGGTGGCCTGGAACTCACTGTGTAGACCAGACTGGCCATGATCTCACAGAGACCCACCTGCCTCCCAAGCTCTGAGATTAAAGGCACAAACCATCACACCTGGCAAAGGCCTTTTCATTTTTACCGGCCTTACTGAAAACCAAATACTCCAACAGTAAAGAATGGTGTTTTTCACCTGGAAGGCAGGACCCTGGAGCCTACTTGCCTGTCTCCCATACAGAGACCTGAAAATAACTCTGTGGAGGTTACCAAAAGCTGGGGAAGACTCTGGGGAACCCGAGTGAAAATTCTGCGGAGAAGGCAGAGTGCAACAGCCTGTGTGGTAGGCATTGCTCCCGGACCGGGACAATGTCAAGCTATTAACTATACTTGTTTTTTAAATTTTTATATATTATTTTTATTTTATGTGTGTGAATGTACTGCCTGCATGTATGTAAGTGCATCTGTGTCATGCAATGCCCAAGGCAGTCAGAAGAGGGTATCAGATCTCCTGGAACAGGAGTTAGCCGCTATGTTGGTGCTGGGAATCAAACCTAGGTCCTCTGCAAGAGCAGCCAGTGCTCTTAACTGCTGAGCCATCTCTCCAGCCCCATTAACTGTGCTCTGTGACCCAAGCCATCCAATGGCACATCTTGACCTAAACGTACTGAGGCTGAAGATGGCATCACAGTCAACCCTAGTGGGCAGACCTGGCTGTGGTGGTGCACACAGAGTGTAGGTGTTTGGAGGTGCAGAGAGGTTTGAAAACAGACTTCCTCCAGCGGTACCTGTTAGTGGTACCTGTTCTGTGGGCTTCTCTGTCCAAATCAAGGAGGCTTTCATGTTGACAGTCACAACGCAAAGACACTTAAGAATCCCAGGATTCCAAGTTATGAATAATGTAATTCCAATCAGAGTTTGTGCATGAAAGGTTTTGAAAGGAGAGAAAGGTCAAGTGGGTCACAAGCTGACTCATCTTGACCCAGCCCTGCCTTGGCGTGCCTTGCTTTCTTGGGTAGCCCACAAAGAATGCTGTGAGTCAGGTCTTGGGACAGGCACCCCATGACCATGTGCCCCAGGCTGGCTCACCTCCCATGCTGCTGACATTGACCAGTCTCCCCTTGGATTTTCTGAGCAGAGGCAGGAAGACCTTTGTAACCTCCACCGCTCCGAAGAAGTTCACGGCCATGCACTTCCGGTAGCTGCTCATAGGAATGAGCTCCCCGTCTATCGGCAAATGGAAGACGCCAGCATTGTTGACCAGAGCCCACAGTCCTAGGGACAGAAAGAAGTAGCACTGAGGGTGAGAGGGGCTGGAGCGCGTGGGGGGTTTCACAGTCCAAGCCCTGGGATCACACACCACGCATCACAAACTGCCCAACCTCAGCCTCCCTGCTGTGGGCGCTGTGTGGAGAACGGATGTGAGCAGTGTTGGGCAGTGGTTTTGGAGACCTTCCTTTCTCATTTATGTATTTTGTGTGAAATGGGAGGCATGGGGCATCATGCCTGCACATGATGTGAAGGTCAGAGGATAACTTACAGAAATCAGTTTTCTCTTTCTATCATCGGGGATTGAACTTGGGTCATCAGGCTTGGCAGCGGACACCTTTTTCCCACTGAGCTATCTTGCCAACCCTGGCTGTCTTCTTTTGTTCAGAAGCCCTTTCCTACAACCAAAAAGCTGGATGTTTACCATTTATGGGAACAGACAAGGGACAGATGAGGTAGCAAAAGGCCAGCATTGTTGTAACTGTGTGCCTGCTTTTAACGTGTCAAAGCCCCCCCCCCTTTCCTCCTCAAAGGAGTGTTTAAAGGCAGTATAGTATCCTTACCACAGTGCAGGATGAGCTCAGTGCTTGTCATCTCTTACCTGTAAACCAGAAAATCCTCCAGCGTGCAGGGAAACAGGACCGGAGTACGAGGAACTGAGGCAACGGCCAAGTCCCTAGTACACCGAGCCCCACTTCCTGCCCTAGCCAACTTGGCTCCTTGATATCCAGAATCACAGCACACAGCTGGTTCAGATATACCCCCACCCCAGACTCTCAAGGGTGGGTGTGAAGTGCAGCCTGAGGATCTGCATTTCTATCAAGCCCCCGGGGATGCTGGTGCTGGTGGACCATCTTTGGAGAACCACTGCTCCAAGCAGTGGTGCTTAACCTTTGTGGTAAGTCAGGAGCACTGTGGCCCTTCAGAAAACCCCAAGGCCCAGTCTATTAGATCACAAACTGTTGGGCGGGAAAGAGAGGAAACCCAGAATGAATGGTGGTTAAAATTCCCTTAAGGTACCAGTTACGAAGGACCCCTAAAAGAAGGAAAGAATGAATACAGTAATTCTTTTTTATTGATTTTTTAATGTGTATTTCATACAGAACATCTCAAACAATCTTAATCATCTTTAGGCCCACTGGCACCCTGCCATAGCCCCCCCCAAATGGAGCCCATATACTCTGTCATCCCTGCAATAATTCTTTTTTAAATGTATTTATTCTTATTTTTGAATGTATATGAGTGTATTGCCTGCATGTATGTAAGCGCACCTGTGTGCGGTGCCTGCAGAGGACAGAAGAGGCTGTCGGATCCCCTGGAACTGGAGTTACAGATGGTTGTTAGCCACCATGTGGGTTCTGGTAATCAAACCCAGGTCTTCTGAAAGAATAGCCAGTGCTCTTAACTCCTGAGCCATCTCTCCAGTCCCAAATACAGTAATTCTGAGGCAGGCACGCATGGGAGGTAGGTTTTGAGTATACACATCTGTGGTGGTTTGAATGAAAATGTCCCCCATAGGCTCCAAGTATTTGGACATTTTGTCCCCAGATGGTGGCGCTGTTTTGGGAGGTTTTAGAAGGTGTGGCTATCCTGGAGGAAGCGCGTCACTGGAGTGGGCTTAGAGAGCTCTTAAGCCTTGCCAGATATCTGGTCGCTCTCTTGTTTCCTGTGCTGCTGGAAGATGTAGAGCTTAGCTTCCGCTCCTTTTCTCCAGCCACCTCTGCCACCATGCCTCCCCACCAAGATGGACTGTAATTCCCCAGGAACTGTAAGCTCAAATAAATTCTTCCTTTTATAAGTTGTTTTGGTCAGTGTTTCTATCACAGCAACAGAAGAGTAACTAATACAACATCCCTGCCTTGTAATAGTGTGCTTGGCAATCTCATATCTTCACCTGCATGTACCATGCACACACGCCCCTCTCTAACAATGCACCTATCAATCTCAGAATCTCCTCGATCCCCCATCTGCATCTGGCTACATGTGATCCCATCTCCAAACAACAGTATAAGTTTCCCCGTCTCCGTAACAATCAAATTTAGACCATTTCTATTCAAGGATATTCCCAACATATCGGGGTGTGAAGAACAGAAAGGCTGATCCTGCTTGAAATGGTTTTGGGTGCATGCTCAGTAAGGCAAAACTGTATTCTCTAATAACCTTTTTACAGAGAATCATGTATTTACCATCTTATGCCTACACAACACTGGGTGTGCATGTGGTCAAAATCAGATGCATTATGGGACAGGACACGTGCAATAGGGAAATGATTATATAACCCAACCTATCAATCAAATGGAGACCCAACTATACCCCTTAATAGGAAGCCCCTCCTTTCTTCAAATACCATAAAAGTACTGCCACTTACGTGGCCTGCTGTCAGTCCTGACAGTTCTTATTTTTAGTTCTTTGGATAAGAGGCCCAGGCCCCAAACACCAGTAATAATTCCATGAGCAATTTTTATTTTTGCAGAGTGGGGCTCTGGAGCACAGGTGAGGGACCTAGGAGGTGCAGAGATGACAGGACTCAGGGGTGTTTAGCTAGGTAGATCTGAATGGATTCTCTAGGTCCCTAGAGTCCCAGGAAGGTATGGGACAGTGGTTCTCAGAGTATGGTCCCCCATCAGCAACAGCAGTTTCTGAGAACTTGTTAGCAATGCATATTTGGCGGACTGGGGATGTGGCTCATGGGTAGAATGCTTGCCTAGAATCCATGAGGCCCTAGGTTCAATCCCCAGCACTGCATGAACTGGGTGTGATGGAGTACACTTGTAATCCAAGCAATTGGGAGGTGGAGGTAGGAATGGCGGGGCGTTCAATGTCATCCTTAGCTACACAGTAAGTTTGAGCCAGTCTGGGCTATATGAGACTCTGCCTCAAAAATATTTTTTCTTTTAACAAGGCACAGTTTTTTAAACCTGACTTGGGCCTTCAGGATCAGAAACTGTCGATTGAAAGGTTGTTGAGTTTCATGTCTGCTGTGCTGTGTCCTTCACAGTTCAGGGGTGTCCAAATTCAGCACCATTGTATCAGAACCAAAGAGGAGAACCAGCCGTTACCTGTCTGATGGCAGTGATGAGGTGATAGCAACCAACTGACACATGAGGATCTCACCCAGCACTGGATCCTTCTGTGAGGGCCACCATGAAGCTCTGACCATCAAAGACCAGCGGTCTCAGCCTCAAGAATTTAAATAACACCCCAAAGAAGTAACACCAGGTGCAAAACAATGGGCATCGTTTTGCCTTGGTGCTGAAGGATGGCTCCAAGCCAAAACCAAGATGCGTCAAAGGAAATAAAATTACATTTCTTGTGACCCCAAGTTTATGATCTGAATTCACAGATACTGACGACTGTGGCATTCGACTAGGCTGATGCCTGGCACAGAGGGAGCAGCAGGTGTCCAGATAGCACTGAGTGTGGAGAAAGTCCCTGTTTACAGCCACTCTGCCTGGTGCCCACCTTAGACCTGTCAACATACAGCTAAGAATGTTCTAGAATAGGCATCATACAACTTTTTCTGTAAAAGCCTCTTGTGGACGAATATTAAATGTTCTCCAAAGGCTCACGTGGTTCCCCAGTGCAATGTTCAGAGGTGAGACTTTGAGGAAGTAATTAGACCATGAGGACTCTGACCTAATCGATGGGTTAATCTGCTGATGGGTCTGTAATTGAATGGACTACTGAGATGTGGTAGAAACTGTGGAAGATGGGCCTCATTGGAGATTTTGAAGGGCTCTCTCTGTCTCTCTCTCTCTCTCTCTCTCTCTCTCTCTCTCTCTCTCTCTCTCTCCCTCCCCTTCCTGTGTATACACTATGAGGTAGGCAGCATCATTCCACCACATCATTCCACACTGTGATGTTCACCAAACCTCCCAAACCAAGAGCTCAAAGAAATCTTTCCTCCTCGAAATTGTTTTTCCCTGGCATTTGCCACAGTAATAACAGGTCTAACATAAAGGCCAAACACTAACTATTTTACCTCTATCAGGCCCTGTGGTCTCACATCTGCCTTCATCACATGTGAACAGAGAGTAGCAGGCCATATGCAAGTGAGCAGGAGAGACTGTGCTTGGTGAGATTCTATTTGTGGACCCTGACATTTGAATGCCATGTGATTGTCATGTCAAAAAAAATTCCTCTTTTGATTTAATCATTTATAAGCATAAAGGCCACTCTTAGTTCACAGGCCACACAAAACAGATGGCAGACCAGGTTGACGACAACCTGTGTTATCTGTTTATGCTTGGAGTTCTTTTCTTATACATTTTCATAAAATATATAACAGGTGACTGTGAACTATTGTGTTCTACTGTGCTGCCTAGAAGAACTTCTTGCCTTCATCTAACTGTGTTTTGGTGCCTGTTAGTCTGCCATAGAATTCTAAGTTGACCAATAAACCCATCACACCCAGGGATTTGATAATAGTTTGGTAATAATATCAGTAACTATCAATATGTTAATAGTAACTCAATAATATGCCATACAGGAACACAGCACAGTCAGCAGCCCTCCTACAGGATATTTGTTGGCTTATCTAGAGGTCCCCATGGCTCATGAGAACCAAGCTCATCTCATCCTTTCATGCCTGGGTACCACCATGGGATTTCTGTGTCTATGACCCATCATTCCATTGCTTCAGATGGCCAGTGCTGTTCTCACAAAAGGGTTCTATGTCAAGTGTCTCCTTCCATAAGACACTGAAGTCAGATACACAGATGGTAAAAGACCATGTCAGAAAACAATGGATGGGCCAGGGGCTGGAGAGATGGCTCAGAGGTTAAGAGAGCTCGCTGCGGGGCTGGAGACATGGCCCAGCCACTGGTTAAGAGCACTGACTGCTCTTGCAGAGGACCTGGGTTTGATTCCCAGCACCCACACAGCAGCTACAAACTGTCCTTAACGCCACTTCCAGGGGAATCCGAAGCCCTCTTCTGACCACAGCATTGCACGACACGGGTGCACTCACATACAGGCAGGCAATACACTCGTACACATAAAATAAATAATAAAATATTAAAAAAAAAACAGAGAGCACACTGCTCTTGCAGAAGACTGGAGTTCAGTTTCTAGCATCAGGGTCAGATGGCTCACAGCTTCCTGAAACTGCAGCTCCAGAGGATCTGATACCCTCTTCTGGCCTCCGTAGTCATTTGCACACACCGGCGTACACACACACACACACACACACACACACACACACACACACACACACACACACACACACAGAGTAAATCTTATTTAATAAAAAAATCTTTATTATTCTTATTTAATGTGTATGAGTATATTGCCTGCATGCACGTGAATGCACCTGTGCCATCAAAGCCTACAGAGGTCAGAAAAGGGCGTCAGGTCCCCTGGAACTGGAGTTATGGACGATTGTTAGCCACCATGTGGAATCCAGGTCCTCTGCAAGAACAGCCAGTGCTCTGAACCGCTGAGCTCTCTCTCCAGCCCCAATAAATCATAAATAAATAATAAATAACTAAAATTATAACCTGATGCTGTGCTTGTTGAAAGTTAATTCCTAAAAAAACACTCTTTATATGTAGTTGTTATTTTAAAGGCTGAATGGAGGGAAGCAGGGGCCTCTATCTAGCACTTGCCTGGTGCCAGGGACTCTTTGGTATGGTCTTTCTATGCTAATACTTCAGCTTTAAAACAAGGCAGGGACTGTCCTCTCCTTTCACTGGGAAGGTCACTTGTTAGAAGGATGGAAGCTGGGGGTGTCCAAGGCCTCCACATTCATATCCCAAATGAGGCTAATGCTGGCAGCAACAACTGGGAAATAGAAGCCAAACCCCAGAGGCACTGCCTGGACCCAGACCTTGGTGAGACCAGCACTCCCTTGGGGATTTAGCCATTTTGAGTTGGGTTGCATCGCTTGCATCAGAAGGAATCCTAGCGTGACCACGGCTCTTACTCTTGGGGCAGCTGGAGCTCAGGAGTGGGAGATGAGCAGATGTCACAGCCGTGCGGTGGTAGAGCTGTAAGCAGAGCGTAATGAGCAAGCTTGGAGGGGGAAGCAACCCTGGCGTACCAGGAGGGTTGGCAGGATGGCTTTGCCTCAAAGGCTGTTGGCAAAGGAAGTAGAGCCAGCGGAGACAGAAATCAAGGGAGCAGAACCTGGACCTGCAACAGTGGGAAATACTCTTCTGTTCTGGAATGATCCAGAGCAGACCAGCAGGCATGTCAAAGCTAGGGCTTGGTGGAGACTATTATCCCAAGAGACTATAATCCTTGTTACAGTGTTTGGATTATGTCTGGGGCAGATAGGGAGACACATGACTGGCCAATAAGCCTCTTACAAAGCCAGTCATGTTCACAGGGCAGCTTGCCCACAGAGGTTCCAAATGCCAAGGGGATGGTTGGAACTGTAAGAGGTACATGTTGTGACTAGGGCAGAAATGCCATCATAAGGTACATGTTATGAAGATTATTCTCCATCTGCAAAGTAGTAAGGAAGGACAGCCAGCAGGGAGACCACTGGGCACCCAGGCAGGAGATTGGGGGCCACTGGGATACCCAGGCAGGAGGCTGGGGGCCACTGGGCACCCAGACAGGAGGCTGGGGGCCACTGGGACACCCAGACAGGAGGCTGGGGGCCACTGGGTACCCAGACAGGCAGCAGGGAGACCACTGGGGTACCCAGACAGGATCTGATGAAGGTCTTCAATAAGTCACAACTTCCTAGAGATAACACGAAGAGGCTGGGAGACAAATTTCTAGGAGACAGACCTGACAGAAATCCAGGCCAATAGGGTAGAGAGATCAAGGGTGAATTGGCAGGAGGGGGGGTGGGGGGTGTCTCAGTGATCCCCAAGTCACTGGCCTGAATGAGTAGCTGTCAATGCCAGTTCTGCGCCACGGAGTGCTGGCGAGCAAGTCCCTTTGCAGGCTGGCATAGGGGGTTGAGAATGAGGTCAGTTTTGCACAAGCTGAGGTTGAACCTCTGGGATGTAGATGGAAATGTCTCCTAGACAATTCTATGTGTTTAGTCCAGAGGTGGGGAAGCACAGCCATGTGGGCTGCATCGCTTTGGAAGCTATTGGTGTAAATTAGTTTTTCAACCCTGGGCAAACATTAGCATCACCTAGGGAGCTTTTTAAAAACTGCTAATGGGGCTGGGGAGATGGTTTTGTAGGTAAAGTGCTTGCCACACAACTATGAGAATCCGAGTTTGGATCCCCAGGGCCCTCATAAAAGCTGTGCCTGTAACCTCAGCACTTGGGGTGGAGAGGGTAGAAGCAGATGTATCCCAGTGATTTACTGACCAGTTGGCCAGTCTAGCCAAAACTACAAGCTCCAGGTTCAGTGGGAGACCCTGTCTCAAGAAAATAAGAGAAAAATACCTGACATCAACCTCTGGTCTTGACAGGGTCACCCTTGCAAAAATACACACACAGACACACATACACACACACACACACAGAGAGACAGACACACACACAGACACACACACAGTCTCTCTCTCTCTCTCTCTCTCTCTCTCTCTCTCTCTCTCTGCTGGTGCCTGAAATTCTCTCCTAACTGGTACGATTGTGATGGCTTGAATGAGCACATCCTCCATAAGCTCCAAGCATTTGGACATTTGGTCCCAATACCAGTTCATGGTACTGTTTGGGGAGGTCCTGGAACCTTTAGGAGGTGTGGCCTTGCTGAAGGAAGCATGTCACTGGGGACAAGCTGTGAGTGGTCTTAAGCCTTGGTAAATTTCCTCTGCTTCCTGTGCCTGCTTGAAGATGTGGTCAGTTGGCGTTCTGCTTGGCCACCTCCTGCTGCTGTTGGCCCCCTGCCATGATGGACTCTTATCCCTCTGGAAACTCTAAGCCAAATAAACTCTTCCTCTGTAAGTCACTGTGGTCATGTTTTATCACAGCAACAGAAAAGTAACTAACACAACAATGATTGGACTTTGGGTGGAGGCACCAGACACAGCAGACAGGCCTTTGGGATCTATGTAGTCACATGGTGCCAGGAGTTTGGAAGGGATCCATGTTTGTTTAACCTTCTACAGCCACCATCTTCCATTTCTGAATAATCTCCTCAAAAAGGGGCCCATACTTGCATTTCACATCAGGTCCCATGGGTTGAATATCCCTCTCTGGGCCCAAGCATGGGTGTTCTCAAGCCCTCCTCCAACATGCAGATGGATCGAGAGTCCCCAGCCTAGGGACAGAACATTCTGGCCCAGCAGTGGGGAGTGGAAATCTGTGCATGGAACCAAATAGGCAGATTCACATTTGGTGAGGACATAGAGGAAGAATCTCATCCAGGAAGCAGAGGGAGCAACCAGAGAGCTAGGAGGGAAAGGGAAGGCTGGTACCCCAAAGCCGAGGATGGGAGTGTCACCAGTATCTTACAATGCAACAGAGAAGGGAGAGTCTTGGCATTCAAGAGAATAGTGACAGCTTTTGCCAGAGTAGGTAAGGGGGTGTAGTGAGGCCAGACACCTGTTCACTCAGTCATGAATGGGAACAGGACAGCAGGATCCTCCAGACTTGGCCCCGAAGGAAGGAGAGAGAATGATTAAAGCAGGCTCGTGGTCATGAGGCTGTTTGCAAAGCTGGGGAAACTCAAAACATGCCAGTGTCATTGAGGAAAAGCAAAGGGCAGGAAGACGGGAGTAATTACGAGACAAGGTATCGGAGGGCAGGGAACAGAGAACGCTAAGTGGGGCTGGGGTGACAGCTCAGTTAGTAAAGTACTCATCTTGCGAGCAAGAAGACCTGAGTTCAACCCCCCAGAATCCACATTTTAAAAGTCTGGTGTAGTGACACACACTTGTAATCCCAGAACTGGGGAGGCAGGGACAGGTGGAGCCCTGGGGTTCCCTGGCCAGCTAGCCTCCTCTAATTGGTGAACTTCAGGTCAATGACAAACTGTCTCAAAAACAAGGTAGATGGTATGTGAGGAACAACAGCTGAAGTTGTCTTCTGGCTTACACACACATGTGCACACGTGTGCGTGCGCGCGCACACACACACAAATGCTGTAAGTTCTGTGAAGAGAGGATCCATGTCTGAGTCACTCCTAACATCTTTGTGATACGGGCTCTGGTACATGGTAGGGACTCAGTACAAGTCCCTCTAATGTAGCCAGTGGTCATGGTCAACAGAGGATGGGACAAGATACAGGCTTTCGGGTGAGTAAGAATCAGGGGAGCAGGTGGCCAAGGCAGTACCTGTGTCCTGTGTCTTCTCTAGGACTTTGCTGTGAGCATCTTTTATCTGTTCCAGCTTGGTGATGTCCATCTGAAGCACCAAGAGGCGCTTGGAGCAGGTTTTTCTCAATTCCTCTGCCCCTGGTCCCCTTTCATCCAGAACTCCGGCAAACACCGTGAAGCCCAGCTTGTCCAACTGTTTGGCCAAACCGTGGCCAAAACCGGAATCAGTACCTGGAAAGAGCCAAGGCAGCCAGAGATGAGCGCAAACCACTGTGGCAGGAGATTAGTAGGAAGAATGTGGTACGGTGTTTATGATGGGCGCCGCTCTCCAAAGAGAGGGATCCTGGGAAATTTCTGTGTTAGCCAAGTTGGGAAATGGGTGAAGTCAAGACAAGCACCTTAGTCCGTGTGAAGAAAGGGATGCTGAGTAAAACTGAGTGGGAGATCAGTGGGGACAGATGGAAAAAGAAAGGCTGGAGGGTGGGTGGTCCAGAAGTCACTGACAGAAGAATGTGGTGGGAAGCACGTGGTAAGGTCTCCTCTGTTCCCTCTGTTCCTTCCCCTTCCCCTCCCCTCCCCTCTCCTCCCCTCCCCTTCTCTCCTCTTCCTCTCTTTCTCTCCATTTTACTATTGTTTGAGATATGGTCTCACTCTGTAGCCCAAGCTAGCCTTGAACTCACCATGTAGCCCAGGCTGGTCTTCAGCTCATGGCAATCCCCCTGCCTCAGTCTTCCAAATGCTGAGATTACAGGCATGAACCGTCACATCCACTTTCTAACATTTTCCATCTTTGCTACAAGAAAGTACTGACTTTCCTTGTGTGATTTCTTTGTCTAAAGGCCTCGCTGATTGGGATGGAGATTGCCTGGCCCTGTGAGTGTGGGAGAGGATGCGGGAGGGAGGGAGGGAGGGAGGGAGGGAGGGAGGGAGGGAGGTTGGTTGCCTGGTGTCTGCAACACTGCCCAAGAGACTGCAGTGGAAGCCAGCCATGTGGAGATGTGATAGCAGAAGTCGTGTCGTGTGCCAAATGTGTCTGTTCTCTTAGAATTTGACTCAAGAGTATATATGACCTTGATGGGAAAACATTATAGACCTAGAAAAACTGGCTTTGTACCCACAACTGAGAGGCATAAATGTCTGAAATTCTAAAGTGGAAAGCACCATGGCCATAAGTCAACTAAATGCTAACAGTTAACATGTATCTGCTTGAAACAATGAGAAACCATTTTACACAGGCTGTGCCGAGCAACCTTCCTGCAAGCCCAGGGGGTGCTTCTCTCTTGCCGGTAGCTAGCCCCTTCCCGAAGATGGCTTCCACACTTGTAACCTACAAAGAAGGAAACCAACTATCTTGAAAATAACTGTGTTGGAAGCAGATTGCAGAGAAAACCAGGCTGACGGCTGGGGGCATCTGTAAGCCGAAGGTGAGGACAGGTGTTTCGTGGGGGACCCTCCTGTTTTGAGGTCCATTGTGTCTTTACACCTCTGCTACCTTTGATACAACTAGATATTTTCGTGTTCTGGATCTTAAATCTCCCAGTTCCCCTCAAAGGTATCAGATACTGGGATACATATGTGATACTGGGCCACCCCTTTACAAAAAGAACCATCCTGCAGTACAGAGATGCTAGCATGGTTCAGCTCCATGTAGTACCAACCCTTACACAGCCAGGTTACCTGTTGCCCTGGGACAGCAGAGACAAATGAAAAAGGATCTTGTCATCTTGCCAGTCGGTCCTTTTTATTTTTATTTTGATACAGGGTCTCACGCTGTAGCTTATGCTAACCTAGACAGAATTTACTATGTATCCCAGGCTGGCCTTGAACTCACAACTCACAACAATCCTCCTGACTCGGACCCTTGAGCACTGAAATTACAAGAATGAGCTGCCATGCCTGGCATCCCAGCTCCCCTTCTGCAGTATCTAATGTTTTGTACATACAGCACTCCCTGTGAAAACAGGACTCCCCACAGGGACCCTATGGGGCTCAACCCTTCATTTGGACCCAGTATCAACCAGCTCTGCCCCTCTAGAGACATGGAGCTGTGGCTACAACATGACCACTTTCATTACTGTTTGATCCAAACTATGGTTTGAATGTTGTCCCCTCTAAAACTCAGAAGTTGTCAATGTGATGGTGTTGAGTCTTTAAGAAGTAACTGATAACTCGCCCCTAGATGGAGCTTGTTACCAATGCCCCATCTGTCGAAGGCTCAGGGAACATCACAGAAGAAGAATCAGAAAGAATGTAAGAGCTGGAGGAAGGGGAGGAGTGCTTGCTACAAAATGGTGCTTCTTGATGTGACATGACTGTTGCACTCATGAACCGACACCAGCTGTGGTTGCTTGCACAAGACCTGCACAAGATCAAGCCAGACAAAATTCTAGCATATATGTGGAGCTGCTCTCCAGGCCCCAATCCATACTGAGGAGCTGTTGGCAGTTGATAGCCACTGAGGGAAGGAGAACCCTTCTTTGAGAGTGTGGCCACTGGTGTAGTTCCCACACACCAGAATATTCCCACACCCGTGCACTGAGTGAACTTAGTGGGTTATCAAACAAATAAAGGAGGTGTTGAGGGGGCTACAGAGGGAGCTATAAGGGAGAATTTGTTGTGCACATGATCATATTTCATTGTATATGTGCATGAAATTTTCAAAGAATAAAAAAAGTTATAATGGGGGCTGGAGAGATGGCTCAGTGGTTAAGAACACTGGCTGTTCTTGCAGAAGACCCAGGTTCAAATTCCAGCACCCACATGGCAGCTAACAACTGTCCATAACTCCAGTCCCAGGGGATCTGACAGCCTCTTCTGATCTCTGTGGGCACTGCGTGACACAAGTGCACTTACATACATGCAGGCAATACACGCATACACATAAAATAAAAATAAATAAATTTTTTAAGGTATAATATTAAAACATTATCAAGAAAAAGAAAAAGAAGTCAGTGGAATTGGGCCTGGTGACACAGGTCTGTCATCCCAGCTACTCAGGAAGCTGAAGCAAAAGAGGCCAGGTTCAAGGCCAGCCTTATGGGAAATTAAACCCATCTCAAAGTTAAAGCTAAAGGAGAGCTGCAGATCAGAAGTAGAGAACTTTGCTAACATGAGCAAGACCCTTGGTTAAATCCCCAGTATCACAAAAGAATAAATAAATAAATGGCCAGTCTCTGACCTTATGTTACAGCAACACACATGTGCTAAGGCAACTCGGAGGATGCTGAACTCACAGCTAGTCAGGGAGGGGATGACCACCTTCCGTCAAGCACATGGAAGCCCGGCTACATCCTTCTGCTAAGAGGCCAAGCTACAGAGAGCAATGTTGTCCACAGAAGTTAGAGTTATGACCTTGTTGACTCATAAGGGCGTCTGGCTCCTGGCGAACCCCACCTGGCCTTTTTCACATGCCTACCTTAAAGCACCCCACAGAGTCCCCATCCTATCGCAAATTAGTTTTCTGTCTTGCCTGCGCTCCACCTTTGCCCTTTATTATAGACACTAAAACTGGTTGCTGCTGGTTGGAAAGCAGCCTGGTGCTTCCTGGGAGGGTCCACACAGTGTCGTCACCAGATGACCTAGCAATTCTGCTCCCAGGTGTAGACCCAAGAGAAATGAAAGCACAGAGTGTACACAGATGTCCACCGCTGCATTGCTGACAGCAGCTGAGAAAAGGAGCCTAACCAAACACCGACTATCGGAGGAATGGACCAACAAGATGCGGTCCGTTCACACGAAGGAATGTTACTGATGGATAAAAATGAATGAATTAATGATACGGCCTAACAACATGGATGGGTCTCGACAACATGATGCTGAGTGGCAGGAGCCAAGGTACCAGGTAGAGGAGTTTAAGCGAGGCTGCCTTTACCTGCTATGCCACCTCACTGACTTGATGGGCCAGTGCATTAATAAAGCCAGTTCATGAGAGACCACCCACTGTGCTCAGCTGTGAGGATGTGCAGCATCAAGGTGGGGTACTCCTGCCCTTCACTCCTGCCTGTGTGTCCTGACCTCTGTGTGGAAGTTACCAGGGCTGCAGAATAGGCTTAACAGTGGGACAGAAAAAGCTGATGTCCGTTAAGTGTACGGTGCTGAATCCAGGCAATGATTTGGGAGGTCTGTTTTTAAAATAAGCCAGGGGGCTGGAGTGACGGCTCAGTGTTTAGGAGCACTTCCTTCTCTTCCAGAGTACCTGGGTTCAATTTCCACAGCCACATGCCAGCTAACACCCACCCTTAACACCAGAGGAATTTGATGCCCTCTTCTGGCCACTGTGGGCATTGCACACATGTGGTACACTTACATACATGCAGGCAAAACATACACATAAAAATAAATAGGGGCCAGAGAGATGACTCAGCAGTTAAGAGCCCTGGCTGCTCTTGTAGAGGACCCAGATTTTATTCCCAGCACCCACATGGTGGCTGACAACTATTTGTAACTCTAGTTCCAGGGGATCCGAGACCCTCTTCTAACTTCTGTGGGCACTAAGTGACATGGGTGTGCTTACATATATGCAGGCAATACACTAAAACACATAAAATAAAAATATCTAGATTATATTTTAAAATGAAAATAGCCTTTAAAAAAATGCCAGACCTGGTGACACAGCCTGTGATTGAAACTACAGCAGGATTGCTATCCATTCCAGGAGGATTGCTATCCATTCCAGGAGGATTGCTATCCATTCCAGGCCAGCCTCTGGCAACATGGCAAATTCCAGGCTAGCCTGGTAACCTTATTACTGTCAGGTGACAGAGGAGGAAACTGCAGCATGGAAGATTCACTCTCTCAGCTAGGACACGACAGAGGTAGTGACAGAGGTAGTCAAGACACAGACAGAGCTTTTGCATAAAGGCTGAGGTGTGAAATGTTCAGAGCCAAGGTCTGGGCACAGAACATGGGCCAGTGAAGGAGTGTTTAAGAGAACTTCGGAATATGTGTCTCTGAAGAACCAGGAGAGATCCTTTTATTTTTATTTTTCAATTTATTAAATTGGATGACGTGAGGCTATTTTCGTGTAAGGATGTAATGGTCTTGTGCATAACCTCCCATTCCTCGCTACCCTCCCCTCTCCTGGCCTTCCTGGCTCCCCTTAGTCCCTGTGTTCCCCTAGACAATTTTATGTCTGCTTGTGCAGCACCTGTGCACATATGACCTTATGTGTCTATTTAAAACCCAGGACGTGCAACTGGTAGAAAAGTGATCTTGCCTTTCTTTGTATGTGT